GGAAAGTTTTATTGTAATAGGAGCAACTTGTTTCTTGACAGATTTCTTCAATCTAACCGAGCACCAGCGCGTTCTGCCCGATTGCAAGAAGATGCAGCATAAGCCGCGAAGGACAAACAGCTGTCCCAGTCTTGCTGGGGGCAGGAAGGGAGAGAGATTAGGAAGTAGAAGAGGAAGAGGGGATTTGCCTCCCCCATGGTCCATGTATCCTGCCTCCTGAGAGCATCTCAGGGGAAGGTGCTGGGTAACGACTAAATACATCCAGAGAGAAATTTCTTTCTAATCCTCTCTCACTTAGAGGTTTGTGTGTACCCAGGCCTGGGAGTTTGCATTGACTGGGATGGACCTGTGGGCATTTTCTGCTTGTCTTTTTCTCGTCCATTCTCAGCATCAATTTATCTTGCTGCAGGCTGGATGATTATTTCCCTTGCTAAGGCTGGATGAGTGTTTTGTTTGCGCCTATTAGATTTAAATGTGGTGCGTTTCAAAGTAATAAGTGCACCCTTGTTATGCAAAAGGGGAATAAGAGAGTTGGGTTTACTGTCTCTTACTGGCTTTCTTAGGTGCTATCACTAGCAATTGAGAGCAATTCAAACCTTGTAGCCTTTTCTGTCTTTCTATGTATCGAAGTTTGGTTTTTCTGAGGTTTTTTTGAAAAAATGTATTTCTATACGTATATGTTAGTGACCCTCTCAAATCCTTCCTGTTGCACGGCTCTTAGCTCCGCTGCGTCTGGGGAGCCAGGCCGGCCGGAACTGGGAAGGTGAGGGTATGTCATGGATGTTTTTGTTCCTTCCCACTCCTGATGTTTGTAGGTTCCTTCCCACTATTGACAGGTCCTACAGGAGATTGTTTTGTGGGGGTTTCTGGCACAATATTCTGGGTCTGATCCAGCTGGGGGGGGGAATGAGGCTGTGAGGCTCCCAGCTCACATGGACTCCCTCCCAGACTTCATCTCCCAGCATGCCCCGCCCTTTCCCATCATGCCGCGGAGGCGGGCCTACGTTTCCCATGAGGCCGCGCGGCGGCCCTCCCCTCAGCACTACGCTTCCCGGCATGCCTGGCGCCGCCCGCTGCGGAGAGGCCCCGTGTTGCGGCGGGCGCGGGGCACGCCGGGAGCTGTAGTGGCGGGGGCGGAGCCTGGGGGGTATATAGGCAGCTCGAGGGGCCGG